TAAACCAGTTTACGACTCTTTCTTCTTCTTGTTGCGTTCTTTTTTAAATGAAAAGTCAGCGACTTCTCTCTCTTCTCCACCTCTTTCTCTCACTAAAAAATCATTCTTTCTGTGAAAAAAAGTTATAATCTTCAAAAATAAGTCTTTGAAAACCTAATTTATGTCAAGAAACTGAAATTGCATCTTGTATACGTCTGTTTGGTGCAAAAACATGTGAACCTAAGCAAGTCAAATGATTAGATTGTTTGTGTTGAGTTCTTGCAGAGAATTAATGGAGAGTGCTTATCAAGGTGATTTAGCCGATGTAGTTCGAGCCAGCGGTGGTACTGGTGCAATAGGCAGAAGCAACGATTCTTCCGAGGCACCAATCTTGAAATCCGACTGGCAGTTCCCGAGCATCGAGATCGAAGAACCAATTGATGATTTTGGTGATCCATTTTCCATAATGGGAGATCCACTTCTTCACGATATTGATACACCATTGTTGCCCGTGTCCATGTCCATGTCCGTGCCCGTTTCAGGTTTCTTGAATACTGGAAGTACGGGAAGGTTTAGTGGTAGTGGTGGTGGTGGTGGTGGTGATGGTGATAGCAGTGAAAATAACAGTATTCTTGATGATAATAGAAAACGGTATCCTAGCATCTTTTCGAGGGTGCAGATCTCTGCTAATTCAAAATTTCCCTTATCGCCGCCATGTGATTCTCCGATGGGTTCAGCTCCTTTGTTAGTTTCTAATGATCATAGGGTTTCTCAAAATAGTTTCGAAGGTTGCTTGGTGGAAAGTCCTAGTGTGGGTGTGCAGATCTCGTCTCCGCGAAATACGGGCATCAAACGAAGGTGATGATATAATTAATCTCTTAACTCAAACTTTGATTTCTTTATTGTTTAAATCATAATTTGATATTTTTATGCTGTAACACCAACACCAGGCTTTCATAAACTAACTACTAATTAACGCGAGTTTCAGAGAGTTTAGAATCTCAAAGTAGGGTTTGGGATAAGATAATTAAATAGCTTTGAGTTTATGTACTTCCTTTCCATTAAGATTGAATTTTTGTATATGTTTTTAATGAAATTTATTGCATATACTGTTGGTGGAAACCCCACTTACAGGATTTCCGTTGTGTAGTCTTTCAAATTCTACATCAACTCAGCTTTTTAAAGAAAAAAGTGAAAGTAAGTGCCAAGAAGGACAGTGATGAAGCAGTTTCTGTTTTCTAAATACTGAAAAGCCAGAAAACACGGTATTAAATTCATTTCTGGGTTCTGATTTTGATGCAACCAGGAAGAGTCAAGCCAAGAATATAGTTTGTATTCCGGCTCCTGCGCCTGCGAATTGCAGACCCAGTGGAGAAATTGTTCCTTCTGATCTTTGGGCCTGGAGAAAGTATGGTCAGAAACCCATTAAAGGCTCCCCTTATCCAAGGTAAATCTGATAAATTCTACCTTTTCGTTCTTCGTCCCAATTAGTTCAAATTTAGGAGATGAATCAAGATTTGAGAATTTTCTTAACTCCTGTTTACTTCTGATCAATTTAGGGGCTACTATAGATGTAGCAGTTCAAAGGGTTGTTCTGCAAGGAAACAAGTCGAACGTAGCCGGACCGACCCGAACATGTTAGTCATCACCTACACTTCTGAGCACAATCATCCATGGCCAACTCAAAGAAATGCTCTAGCAGGATCCACAAGATCTCAGCCATCAAAGAACAGTAGTTCAGCTCCCAAGAATTCATCTTCTGATCATCAGGGCCAAAAGTCTACAAACCCAAAAGAAATCAATACAGAAAATGTATCTTCACCTTCTGTGAAAGAGGAAACGGGTCAAGATTGTAACAAGAAGTTAGAAACGACTCATGATATCGAATTGAGTGAAGGGTTTCGAGAGAGCTATAAGCCGGCATTATCGGCCGATGACAGCAACCAAGCCGAAGACTTCTTCGCAGAATTGGGTGAGATCGGAGCCGACCCTTTAGATCTCTTGTTCACTCAAGGACTTTCTGGAGAAGAAGCCGAAGAACACAAGACCTCAAATCCATTCAGTTTCTTTAATTGGAGTACTGGAGGAAACAGTAACAACCTTAACAGCTCCTCCTTTGGAGAAACTAAGAAGGATTCATAGTTAACATGATCCTAAAACAACAGACATATGATCACATATACAGATTTAGTTGTTTCGTTTACAATTTCGTTCAGTTGAGTGAAGCCATGCATAAACAAACACAAAGCAATCATCTGATACATGTGATCAGCTAGTTTAATTTTCTATGATTTTTAGCTAGTTTAATTTTCTATGATTTTTACCTTTTTGTGTAGTTAAATTACTGCTGGTAAATTTGGAGTAGAAGCCAGGAGTCCATTTTTCATGGAATATTATTAGATGGGACAGAAAGCTGAGGAACAGGAGGTTTCACAGTTATAAAAACTGTATTTGTCAGATATGACAGGAAAACTCAATGGAGGGATTGATATTGGATGGGACAATTTCAAGAGTGGGAAACTCATGGGTACATACCTTAATTAACAACCGCGCTCCAGGTCGAAGAAACAGACTAAAAAACAAACTGACGTGGATTACCCTTTTTAAAAAAAAAACAACAAAACAAAACACAACTCTATACTCTCTCTCCACAAACCAAAATCGAATACAAGAAATCGATCCCCAAATTCCAAACCCTAAGCACAACTCACAATCTGAAAATCGCCAAACGGGAGCCCTAAACTCCTATCTCTAATCGCACTTCAGTCAGGGTAACGCCGCGCCGCACTATCGTCAAAGGCTTTGCTATCGCTTGACCCACCATATCCGGTTGTCGTCAAAATGTTATGGTTGAGCTAAAACCTCAATCTCAAACCAGTTAATTTCCAACCACAATCACCACACAAATGAATATAGTTAATAACACAAGCTGGAACTTCACTAATTGAACGAACAGAAATTATATA